ATCAAACAGACACAAATCCATAACAGGAAGATCTAGAAGCTTACACATTAGTCATAGAGCAGTCACAACTCTAGGGGGCAAGCATAACTATCAATAAAAAGTGGGTATTTGAGGTAATACTCTCTGGAATTCATTTGAGCCTCCTTGCCTCTGCCCCACAAGTATCATATTTCTAAATTCACACGAAAACAAGAAATCTTTTCCTTATCATAATTCCTTAAAGCGAATTCTAATTATTTCGATAAAAGCATTCATCACATGCATATCTGTAAATAATTATACAAAGGCAAACAAGTTACAGCAATGTGCTAAATCAGTGAAACCTAAGAGATGGATTGAAACGAAGTGTTCATTGCCTATACAGCATGCAAGTAAGGATGTTATGCAAACCAAACAATTAGGTTTTTCAAGTAATTTTATAAATGTGACATTTGCGGAAACATGTTCTTGCTTTGACACCTATCAAAGCATCAGATGATTAAAGCAAACAAGGAATCACGCTACCCTCTTTAATCACATATATAGCATGGGCTTTAAAAGATGAAGGGTTGCAGAATATAAGATGCTTCCAAATTCAGAGGTTTGTTTCCCAAATAAATGCTTTATCGAAAAAAAAATTTTCTACTTCTCTTCACCTCTAGCCATCATGGCTCACTACTGCATGGCATTATACGGATAAAGGAAAGTAAAATGCATTTTTATCCATCGCAGTGAAGATGAAATAAATGTAATTTTCTATGCAGATTTAGATAACTTGCTTTCATCAAGAAAAATTAAGTTAAGGAGTGCAAATTATAAATGCATTAGAAAATATATCGTCGCAGTAAAAAATCCATTAAATCCAGAATACAAAAGAGCATGATAGCTACAACGAACTCTAGTTCAATAACATTAGAGCATTTTCTTAGCTATTTTTACAACTTGGTCATGTATTTGAAAGGTATTTGAAGAATGTACTTTATTCAGAATTATCTGCCAAAGTAGTGATGATAAATTCCAGCGCCATAAAGTGGACTTAGCCCATTTCTAGAAGTACCACGACTTTCACTAGTAATAGCACCAAGCTAAAACTTGTCAATGGCACAGGTTAGGTCCATCCGTAGGCCAACTTACAACTGAGCTATTGAAGTATCTCTTCTAAGGTCATGGCTAAGTAAGCTACAACAAATCCTCTTATCAAAATCCCTTATCACAATATTTAACCCATTAATTCTGGACTATTCCAGAGAAGTGCCCTTTTGAGAAGGCTTAATAAGGCGTCATCATTTCTACTTCCTTGTGTGCCAATCCGACTACGTTACTTCAGTCTGAAAACAATTTCATTTAACTCCTATCCTTGAGGAGACAATAGAGATTTTAATAGGAATTAAAT